GCAATGTGCCTTCTCCTAGCTCTTGAGACCACAGTAGATGTGTATAAGAGACAGCGTCAATGCAGACTGAATGTATGGCTGGATATACATATATGTATATGTATGAATTTTAATATTCGAGTATGATTCAAAAAATATGTTGGCCTCAGATATAAATTTATCAATTTTTATTTAAAGATATTTACATTATGTAATATACATATATGTATATATTTAAAATTCTATTTATAACTCTTCCAAAAAATAAGTTCTTGTTTTTAATTTTCAATGATGTTTCCCAAAACTGAATATAAAAACTAAACCCAAATTTAGCGGTTAGTAGCTAATAGTTACCACAATTTAATAACCGCATATACGAAAACCATTTTTCCAGCGCCATTTAGCTACCTGCCGCAAAATTTTACAAGCAGCAAATAGCATAATATGGCATTAGCCCAGACTCATTTCAGCCACTTAAATACGTCTGTCTGCGAAAGCAAAAAATTTAAATATTCCCCGCTGCGGTATCATAACTTTTAATTAGAACCTTTTAACGCCTCTAGATATTTTCCAATTACACCTCGTTAAAATTTTTATATTTGTTTGGAGTATTTTTGTTTTGTTTTCGCTTTCGCCTTGTTTTTGTGCGCTTATACGCCTTTCGTAGAAACCATTAAATGCTAATTTCGCTTTGTCGTGATGCGACGCGACGCGTGTCAACCCATTTGTTTGCCTATTTATTCATATTTGTAGCGCACTTACAAGTGAGACGGTATATGTGTGTGAATGTATGTGTGCTTGCTGACTCCTACATTTATTTTGTTGTTGTTCGTCTGTCTACATGTCTATTGTTTTGTTGTTAGTTAGTTGGATAGACGTTCATTCGCCACTGCAGCAACGAACCGCAAGCACACACGCCCACACACACCAGTACAATAAACGCTGATAATACAAATTGTTTCTGTCACTTGTTGTGGTTATGCCATTCGCATTAGACGACCGGCCATTGTTTATACGCATCGGTTTAGTATGCAAAAGCGAAATACACTCGAAAATTAAAAAAATAAATTATAAATTACAAATTGCACATATGTGTGTGGCGTGTGCGTGTGCTTTTATGCAAATTTTTGCATTGTTCATGTGTGCATAAATTAGCATAAATTTTTAATTTAATGAGGCAGAAAGGGGAACGTTTTTTTTTTTTGTTTTTTCGTCGAGCAAGATACTTTCTGGRGCAGCACAGCCTATTTTAGCAGCTTTTAAATTTATTGTATTGTCTATTTTCGTATTACGACTTGTATGAAGCTAAAGAGCTTAGCAAAATAAATTTATAAAATATCAAAAAGTCGTACGAAATCRCAATATATAAATTGAGCACATATTAATACAATTTAATTATTTATTTRTCTCAGTAATAAGAGGATAAGCATTACTATTCAAAAGACCAACATTTGTTGAATAATTACTTGGATGACATAACGTATACGCCCGGGTAGTCGCACAAATATTGTATGGCTGGAAATTTTTGATTTCTTGATAA